TGTACTGTAACGCTGCGCTGTACTGTAACGCTGCGCTGTACTGTAATGCTGCGCTGTACTGTAACGCTGCGCTGCACTGTAACGCTGCGTTGTACTGTAACGCTGCGCTGCACTGTAACGCTCCAATGTACTGCACTATAACGCTGTAATGTTGCAATCCACTGAACTGTAACGCTGCAATGCGCTGCACTGTGACGCTGCGCTGTACTGCACTGTTACTACCCAACGCTGCAGTTATTATCCTACGCTGCGGTTATTACTATTACTCTGCACTGCAGCATTTACCCTACATTACAGTCATTACCTTGCGTTGCAATAATTACCCCACATTGCAGTCATTACCCCACATTGCAGTCATTACCCTGCAATGCAGTTATTACCCTCCATTGCAGTTATTAACCTGACTGCAGTTATTACCCCATGCTCTTGCAGTCAACAATAATTGGGTACAATTAATTTTCAATTTGTTACGTTTCCCGCGTTCATACAATTGTTTTGAAACGTTCCACGTATCAGGATTTTATTACCGCATTTAGCAACACTGATTTTTTTAGTCGTTGCAACTTGCAATGATGGTTAAACAACAAAATTATAGTTCAACTTTCTTGAACTCAAACAAATAAACCCTAAAATAATCCTAATTATAAATTTGATTAACTTCTGTTCATCATTAATTTCCAATAATGAAGTATAAGCGACATATTACTTAAAATCACTCTCTCACTGGTAACCTTTGTATACCTAATTTTTCCCCATACTGTCTTCAGAAAATTGTAACCCTATAGAGTATAGACCGCCCACGAACGAACCGAGCTGTCTGGTTCCAGCTTCCGTCTTCTCATGGCGCATGTCTTAATAGTTTTGTGTCTTCAAGCTTGCCAAAATTTCCCACGCCGCCCACTTACTCGGTGAAAGTTTTTGTTTTGGGAGCCTGAGGAGGTAGCCTGACCAACCTAATTGTGGGTAGCCTGCTTAGGTTCCCATGTGGGCACCGCTTTTGTCAAGGACCTACCGCGAACGCTGATTCCTGCTAAACGCAGTACGGGTATTAGTGGCTTACACAAAATTACAAATCTGAAGTAAGTAATTATAGAGAAATTGTTTTGTCGTTAGTTTAGCCACCTGATGACGTAATTCGAATTTCACGGTTTTTATTATGATTCATTCGAGAAATTTGAGAAATATAAAGATATTTAATTTATTTTACAGATTTTATATTATTTTAAATCGCCTTGTAACGTTTTGTCTATAGTTATGAAATGTAATGACTTCTTGAAAAATTATTGGTGTTTCACTAAAATTATATATGCGCAAAACGTTTAAAAAATTTGCCATGCGGTTTGTAAAGTATATATTGCAAACTGAGCTCAATTTTGCACGATTATGCCATTGAAATTAGAGTGTATCTCTTTTGTTAAATATTATATTTTAATTATTTAGTCCCGGTAGCTCTTTCAAAAATTTTTTGCTACACTTCTGAAAATTTTAAATGGAAACTTTCATTGTACTTCCATCACGTCTCGGACGTTTTGTTTCTGTACTAAGTTTTACTAGCGAAGAATTTCGTTGACTCGATTCCATCACAACTTTCCAGCCAGCTAAAGCACTAAAAAATTAAATATTATTGTAGCGAAAAGATTCAGGGACTTTAAAAAAAAACACTTTTAATACTGTTACAAAAACTCGTCTTTTTCCGGCGAGAAAAACATTTTAAGTTAAAAAAAAAACAGCAAAAGTAGAGCCTTGCATCCTGGTTGTGCGTGTTTCCGTTAGGAAGTATCAATAATGAATCACATTTAAGAAGGTGATTTATGTTTCAAGTAAATCTCTTGCTTTTCTAAAAAGTACACAAATTCTCTGTGGAACGAACCTGCTTAGGATTTATCTCGGGGCAGCTGCCGGGGCCTCGCACCTGGACTAGTCGCTCTGCAACAAAACAGCGCCTGTAGGAAAAAAAGTTGTTGTGTTGTTTGAATGAACTGAAATTTGGCAACGGAAACTCAAAATTATTTTAGCAATTGAATGCAGTGCATCTACATTATGATATATTTCTTGAAATAATATTGATGCCCGAAGTAGCATATATCATCGATGTCAATAGCTATACAAGGATTTATATCTTACATTTTTTTCCTATTTTTCTTTAATTGACTTCAGTTAAGTTGGTAAAACAAATAATTTCAGTTCAGTTGATACAAAATAATTTTAAAAATGAGTTTTCAGCTTATCATTTCAATTTTCCTGAAATATTAAATACGAAAAATACTAACTGCGATAATACTCTCATGATGACATCAATTTTCTACTTTATCAATCGTTATCAAATTGTCACCACTGCCTCCAGCATCCTCGTTTAATGAATGCTAAGTAATAACAGACACCATGAAGATGTAATTCTCTCCTCCTGCGTTTAACTTTCCTGCGGTCTTTTAACCGACACAGCGTTAACCGCAGCCTCCTTATCATCCTGCTTCAACTTCAAGCTTTCCGACGACATTCTTATCATTTAAGCCAAACATTGATGTCTTTACTGAAATATGTTTATTTTATAGTGAAAGAATTTCCAAGAACCTTATTTCCATAATATCTTTGGCTGAATTTTATTTTTCCATGAAATTTTAAGGACGATATTTGGTTGTTGAGAGTTGCGATAGCCGTGGGAAACTGAGGCTCGTGGCGCCGCCCACGCACGGTTGCCTGCGCGTGCCGCGGGGTCGACCGTCGCTACTGACGCGTGGCGCTCTGACCGACGCGTGTACCTACTCAACGCTTCAAATACCTGCTTCAGTGGCTAATTTGTCGAAAATTTTGATACATACAGAAATTAAGTGCTTTTATCATCAAATTATCATTATATAATAATTGTTATTGTTTTCAAAATATTATTTTTACTATTACTGTCGTAATTATCGACAATTTTCTTCTCGTTTCGATGGCTCCTAAACTGAACATTAGAAATTATTTCTATGAACTATACCTACGAACTACTACATCCTTTTATTATATACACATTAAAGATTCAGCGATAGGCAGAATGTATAAAAATTTCTGTTTTTGTAAATAATTAATAATAATTCATTTCTGTTTTCGTAAATAAGTAATAACGAGGAATGAATAATAAAGCTGGCGTAATAATTCGACTGAATTGTGAACTGTTGATGTAGTGGCGCGTTGCTAATCCACAACCACAGGACCGCGTTACCACAGCTCCACCAACCACCTCCTTCACTGTGGACCACAGGACCGCTTTACCACAGCTCCTCCACCCACCTCCTTCACTGTGGTCCACAGGACAGCTTTACCACAGCTCCACCAACCACCTCCACCACTGTGGTCCACAGGACAGCTTTACCACAGCTCCTCCACCCCACCTCCACCACTGTGGTCCACAGGACAGCTTTACCACAGCTCCTCCACCCACCTCCACCACTGTGGTCCACAGGTCCGCGTTACCACAGCTCCTCCACCCACCTCCACCACTGTGGTCCACAGGACAGCTTTACCACAGCTCCTCCACCCACCTCCACCACTGTGGTCCACAGGACCGCTTTACCACAGCTCCTGCACCCACCTCCACCACTGTGGACCACAGGACTGCTTTACCACAGCTCCTGCACCCACCTCCACCACTGTGGACCACAGGACCGCTTTACCCTATCAGGACATACGCCGCTCGCCAGACCTGCCAAGGGCCCTGGCAGCCGTTCTTGTGCTGCCAAAGAGCGGTGTGTAAAATTTAATTCATACATATCAATGTGTGAAATCCAAATAATATATATTTGAGTTTTTCATTCGATCCAAATGAGATCACAGTTGCTTTGATGTGCAATGAATTATTGGTTAGTTCGAAGAAAATTCGTTTTGTAACGTAATTAATATTTCGTATTTGTTCCATGGTTGTACAATAATTGCTTGGCGCCTATATGCAGCTGCTTCATAAGTTTCATGCATATCTGTTAAAACAATCTGTACCATCTCTCTCAAGAGGAGCTTCTATTTTGTTAGAAGTTGTCCCCTGTGACGATATATAGAAGTATAACGTGACTTAAAACTTCAATTTGCGGTACTTCATAATTTTATTCTTTCATTGTGAGGAAATTCGAAAAGACTTTGATTGTGAGGAACTTCGATCTGCTCACAGAATACTCTTGTGTAGATTTATAGCCGGGCTAGTATAGACGCGTGGTCGATCAATAGTTTAGCATTGAAGAACAAGATATCGAAATTAGTTTTTTTTCGCCGACATGATGGTGACATGAATATTCAAGGCATATTTGCATTGTGGTACGGCTTTTCATCCCGAGACTGAGACACTGTACTTGCTAATTGAACAGCGCGTCGAATTTGTCTCAAGTAATCACCGAGACAATATGAAGCACAGAAACTTTACGTCGGATCAAATCTGTCAATTGGCTCCGTATATTCTACGTCGGATCGCATCTATCAAATGGCTCTGTATTTTTACACAGGATAACATCTGTCAAATGTCTCCGTATATTTTGTAACGAATCACATCTGTCAAATGGCTCCTCCGTATAATTTACATTGAATCACAGCGGTTAAATTTCTCCGTATATTGTACATTGGATCGCATCTGTCAAATGGATCTGTATGTTTCATCTGACATTGGTAAAATGTTTCCGTATATTTTATGACAGACATTAGTCAACCGTCTCCGTATATTTGATCAGACAGGAATGTTTGCCTCAATTAAGAATAACGCGATACGAATATTTCGTGGAGCTTTTGCAACATTCAAATTAAATACAGAGATAAACTTTTATCTTCAATAGAGACAAGCTTATAGCCTCCACAGAACCTAAAGCTTCAATCCTCCTCAGAGATTTGTTAAATCTCAAGCCAATTCATTATTGGTTCATCTCGTTAACATCGACTCCGTTGTTCACATTAAGACAAAAACAGATTTCTTTATTGGATATAAACTTCTCATTTACTCGTAAAATCTAATTTTGATATTTGAGGGAAAATACAAAAAAATCATTCAATAATATATTTTATTAAAAAGAAAAGTTTGCGAACAAGCTCAACTTAATAATGAAAAGGAGAACGATATAATGCCACCCAAAATTCGAGGTTGGCCGTGAATGCAATTAACGCATAGTAGGCAGTAAGCTACATGCCTTGATACGCGCCGCTGTCGTAGGATTAACATAGAAATGGCCGCTTCTGAAGTGAGTGTCACTCGGGCATAATGAATACAAGATTTTGGTGCGGATGTGGCTCGCTAACTCTATTGTTGTCTGCAGACCTGCAATTACGTGCGATCGAACGGTAAGTAGTAGACCATTTGGCGTCGTTATAACACCCATTAGTGCTATCCTAAACCATGCCTAAGAATCGAACTCTGCCACATTTATTGTGCCACCCACCAGAAACCATTGAGTGACTTCCATCATTCTATTCAATGGCCAAGAAATTAATGAGATTGGGGCGTTCTTTTGTAATAGAGAAACAATTTCCATATTTTCAATAGGCTCCGATCCTGAGATTTCTTTAACGCTTTAGACTCTTAAGATCGTAGAAGTCAAGCAATTTAAATTCTAGTTTTCCATAAAAATGTTCTCGTGTAATCAAGGCGGCTGACTGACTCAATGAAGCCGAGTATAGAGACGATCATGTGCTTAAAATATGCCATGTTTCAGCGGCCCTGGCAATTGACTTCACTTTAAGAACTGGTTTGAATTCTATTGGAATTAAAACTGAACGTCTTTGGCTCCGCCTGCGTGGCTCTTAAGATTCCAAAAAGCTTTGACCGTAAAAATATTAACATTATTCTTTGGTCACTAGTGTCATTTAATGCATGCTGAAGATTACAAAATGATTGATAAGCAAGGGTTGAATTGATGATCAAGGGTAGCTTAGTAGTTCAGTAAATAATATTTGTCTGGGTAACAGAAGTTTTCAGTATAATTATCACATGATCCACAGTAAAAAATGTTGAAGTGCTTCTCAGGATTAACTGCCGTGAGAGTCAGGGAGTTTTAGTCAAGGAAGCTTTCTGCTGGCTTTGAGCTCAAAAGTCGTGGGTTTGGCTGGATGTTCCTTGGTACTAAAGCAAGTATTGGAATAGCTTCACTAGGCAATTGAATACGGGAGATGTAATGAAGTGCCGCAAGGTAAAATATCTCGGACATGTACGGCTGTCGGGAAAAGGAATGCTAACTCGGGTATTTTTCATAGAAATTGGCATTGAGTAACGCCGTTTAGGAGAAAGAAAAGTTATAGAAGGATCTTAACGTTACGGAAATGAAGTTAGTTTGGAAGGTTTTTTGATGGTCTTTTTTAATTCTGTATAATATGCGGGGCACTCGAACCATGTCGTATCATTCAGAAGTATCTGACTGCACGCCTACATCATTATAAATATTGGTGGTGGCTTGATTTTATAAGCCCACACATAAGATACTAAAAACTTGGCATGGGAATGAATTGCTTTGAAATTTTGCCACTTATGTTTACATTTTTTACAAATAATGTCAGTTAGAAGTGAAAAATAAATACAGACACACTGAAACTAATTCTGAGGCGAGTTGACTGTCTGAATATTTTTCTTTCCAACTTGTCAGCTTCGCTGTCTACCAAATTTTATCGAAGTTGGACCGCTGCGGAGTCATGCAGATCAGAGAGTTGTGTTTAACACGGGACTTCGTTGAGCTGGTTCTAGAGTGTAGAACTTCTACATTAGGAGTTGAAGACCTCGAAGACTTGATCAGAACTTTTCCAGACATCTTACGTAGAAATAACGTGATTTAATGTTTTTCAACAAAACAAGCTCGTAATTAACGTTGTTTTAACGTCATTTGTCTGGAGGGAAGCTACTTATCGAAAGTCATGCGTTCACGATATCTGGTGAGGATGCGCAGCTCTCACGGCCGCTCGCCCGACGGTCACATGCAAGTTATCGGTTTTGGCTACCCAAAGCTGCACGCCCTGGGCTCCTGATGGCCGTGTCGTGACGGGCAGGAGCCCAGCTCGCCCTACTGTGCGGCCCTGAGAAACCCATGAACTCTCCTCGCCCTCTGATCGATGGACCCATTAATGGCTTCTCAATGTGCTGCTCTTACCTCCTTATACCCAAGCGATCTGGTCGGTCGGCAGGGCAAGCGTTGAACCTGTTCCGTTAGGCCTTCCTTCCCTTCTGCCCCCACGCCATCTGTCACTAGACACTGGACGCTCACACATACTTATCCCTGACATGGGCTGGGTATCCAGGAATCAACAAATTCAACTTCCAGACTCGTTGAGAATTTGTTCAAGTTACACCCAGGCTAAGAACCCAACTCTCATTTAAAGATTGTGGTTGGTTGAACTGACTGGGAAATCATCCACCTACGTTGCAAGCGTTTATAACATCCACCTCCATTACAAAGGAATATAACATCCACTGATGTTGCAAACGTTTATAACGTCCGCCTCCATTACAGGTTATATAGCAAACGAGAAAAGCGTACACTTTCTTACAACCTATCAAATCTAAACGAATCAAAGATTCAAAATTAATGAGAACCTATGCTTTACAACTAAATTGTCATGTTCAACTGTGCTTACACACAGAAAATCAGATCAGTGTCTCAATCGTCATTGCCGGTAATGCCGTGGCTTCCGAAGTCAATGATTGTCCAAAAGAAATCCCTCTCATTCGTAAGGATTAAGTCACAAGATTGGAATCTAAATTACTTTTTGCATTGAAACCATGGATCATAATTGTTTAATTTAATTCCCTTTCGATGGCGAGTCAGAAAAAAAATAATAAGAAGCACTTATAGATGCCAAAATATCGAAATTTCAAGTAATTGTTGAAAACAAGCGCCATCGCACAAGAAACGTAATGTTTGAATTACTCCACTAACTTAATTTTCAATACTTTATGTGGTATGGGCTAGGAAAAGTTTTTACTCGTCACCTCTATGATTTGTCACCACATAAATTTCTGTGCTAATCTATTGAAGCGTAATAGGAAAAAACGTGGTACAAATAAATTACTTGTATTACCTTCAAATGAACATGGTTAGTAACGCTTATTAAAATGAAAAGTGTCATCAATGCTGGAGACACCCAGTGTAAAAGCTATTAGTCTTATTCATGTAAAAAATTAGGACGATATTTCGCATACTTTAGTACAATTCGTAATTTCATTTATCGCGAGATTGTTGGATCGTAGGATAAATAGTCAGATTGAATTGCCCGCAAGTCCATTATTTACTCAAAGTTAAAGGCGCGCCTTTCTCGCACATAAACTATTTCGTTTCATTGATTTGCTGTATTTCACACAGTATTAAGAGGCCTGTAATTTATTGTCCATGCTCTGACAACAATTTTCTGGTATTACGTCGCGCACTTGGCATAAATCAGTTCAATTATGTATGTTTACCGCGCCGCTTCCTCACTTGACGTATAAACTTCATTTTCTTTATACATCCTTTGTCTCGGATACCAATATAGTGACAATGAGTTGTGTTTTCATCATCTTACGCCGTGTTTATCCCTGCAGTGGCAATGATTTACTCGGAAATATGCGAAGATATTCGCGCTAGCGTTTCTTGAGGGGACTGTGAGCTGTAATCAGCGTGCAGGCCGAACATCTCTTTGTCGGGGACTTGGGCCGGTGGGTGAAGTATGGCACTAAACCGACAATTTGGCACCTTCCTCGGTGCCACTCAGTTTTGTTCTTGACAGCCCACAATGCAAATTATTAATCTATCACTGTGATTAATGCAAC